TTTGCCAGTGAAAGCCGAAGACGACGGCAGCAGCAGTGGCTCCAGCTCAGAAGAGGAGGCCCAGACAGGGCCTTCGGCCGGGTTGGCGATGCTCGCCCCAGCAGCCAAGAAGGCAAAAGCAGCAGCGGCAGCGTCCAACAAAGGCGGTGCCAACACCAAGTCTACGGTGACGCCTGCGCCTGCGGCTGCCAAAGTCAAGGCAAAGGAAGGCTTCAGCACGGGTGGAAAGCCAGCCAAGCCGACGCCGTCGGCAAAGGTTGCGCAGCCCAAAGGAAAGACCAAACTCTCTGCGCCTTCGGTTGCGGGTGCGGCTCCTTCAAGCGATCCCGACAAAAGCTCTACCGTAGGCATTCTTCAGCTTGATGGGCGTGCAAATCGCACACTGAGCCTCAACAGCAAGTATCGGGGTTTGATCTCTAGACAGGCCCAGACAATTATGTTTGGGGATTAGGCTTTCGGAGTTTCGGGTTTAGGCTTGAGGGTTAGGGCTTTCGGGAAAGGAGTCAGGCGAATGTATTGAATCATTTATGATGTTTGCTAAACTTTTGCCGTGTTTCCGCAAGTGTAATATCTTTAAAGACTTTAGGCTGTAGGCTATAGATTCAATGAAGAGGGGTTGGGATTGGGTAGTACTACTATCTTTAGTTGTGGTAACCATCAGCATAAGTCATGAGACATGAGGCCTAAGGCGTAAGCTGCCATAGAAGACTATGAATAAATTTCTATAGGCTCTAAACTATAGCCCATTATAGCTGTAGCTAAGCCAAATCTGATAAGGCAAAGTCGAAAGCTAGGAAATCTCAGCTTGACCTATCAGGAGTCGCCTCAACGATGCCAATACGAAGCTTGCCGAGAAGCTCAAAGAGATCCGTTACGATGACGAGCCTGTGTCGCAAAACCAAGCAGCTTCAAAAGAGTATCGCGCACATTGTCTCAAGCGCGTCACCGAGCTCAACCAGATCAGGAAGCAAGCCTCGGAGCATGTGAAAAAAGTGGAAAAAAGCCCCAACAAAGATGCTTTTGCAGACCAGCTACAAGGTCTTACTGAAATCACCGATGCTGCCACAGCGCTCGGAGAGCTGTTGGGCATGATGCCTGTGGCAACCCCTGATCCCGAAGTGTTCCTTGGCACTCTGAACAAGTGCAGAACCTTCGCGGGAAGTCTGGGCTTTGGCCTTGGGCCGGGTTTCGCAATGAAGTGTCTCTTGGCAAAGGTCAACGAAGCATGCTTGCATTGCAACTACGACCGACTTTGCGAGATCCTCTGCGAGGACAGCAAGGATGCCCAGGACATCCTCAGCTCATCCGTAACCATGGATCAGCTACGCCTTGCCGTATCTGCTGAGATCGAGAATCGGCTGCTTTCAGCCATGCGAAATGTTTGCATGACAGAGTTGAAGCTGAAGTCCTCGGGGTTTGTCCACATTGCAGATCCTGAGTCTGAGACCCCGACTTTGCATGAGGCAAGCCAGCTGGCCGCTTGCATTGCGCGTGCGTCTGAGGCCAAAGGGTTCCTTGCAAGCAGCATCGCAGACTCTGCGTCCGTAGCCTTCTCTTTTCTGGACATGAAGGACATGGCAAGTCTCCGAGACAACGTCCAGAAGATTCAGGGAGTCGCTTCCGAGCAGCTGGAAAAGTTGGATGGCATGACGCGTTTTTTCATCCAGCATGATATTGGCAAAGCTCTGGTGGCTCTCGCCACTGATAGAGTGGAACATGGGCAAGCAGAGGCCGACTACCAGGAGTTGCTGAAAGCTTTGCAGGCGCCGTTGGAAAGGCTGCAACAGGCAGCCAAGGAGATCACGCACAGAACGGCGGCAAAAAGCCAGGGAATTGCATTTATCGTTAGCGACCTCAGCCCGGCGGTCAAAGCCATGGAGGAGTTGCAGGCTTGCGCTTTCTTGAAGCGCAAGGCCGCGCAGAAGGCTGATAGCGAGACCGGCATGAGTGCTGTTGAGACAGTGCAATCCTGCGCTGGGCGCCTGTCAAAAATCGCGGTCACCATGGTGCAAGACGAACTCAACATGAACATCTCCGAGCACCTGCGCCTTGGCTGTTTCCCAGTAGCTGCGTTTAACCACTGTGTTCGGATGTATAGATATAGATATAGATATAGATACAGATCGTACCACATTTTTCCACAAGATCGGGGGTTTAGCGTCCAAATCATTGGCGGGTCTAGAACTCATAGTCGCACCAAGCCAAAGCCCAAACGTCGCAAAGGGCAAAGCTTATCAGCCATGTGTAAGGACTGTGGGTTTTGAGGCGCTGAAGAACAACTGCATGGTGAAGCTTCCGCAGCAAGCAGATGCAGACGTTCCGGCCTCTGGCCCAGTCGGGTCAGGCACGGCCATCATCAATTTGGACGAGTTCCTCAGTGGTTTTTCCGCTGTCGCTTTCGTTGAGAACAAGCTCTGGCAGAGCCTGCCGGCAGTGCAGGCTTTGATCGCTGATTACAGCAAAGCGACATCGCTGCTAGCTTCCATGATGCGATTCGTTTTTATGAAGCAGCCGGCTTTCAGCCAGGTTTCTGTCGGCAAAGACAAAGTGCTGCCAGAAACCATGCAAGACTGGACCGAAAAGGCACGGAAGCATGCAAAAACCTGGGTTTCCGAACCAGCTCTCTTGGAGGCAATCGAACACTGGTTGGTTAAACCACTTCAGGCAGAGCTGCAGTTGCTCTATTCAGCGGGTCTCAGCAGTGTGGCTCCAATCGTCGATCAATATGTGCAAGGCGCTTTGGCCTGTGGTCTCACTCGTGGTGTTCACGACGACGTTTTGCAGAAAGTGCCGCAGCAGCACCCCCTCCGTGGTCTCGTCGAGTCGTTCTTGCAGGCCCAGTCCTCCATTGCCGCGTTGCCTGTAAGCCGTAAGCCGCATGCCCGGTTGCTCGTGATAATTTGCTTGCGCTGTACACCGCTGAGCTCAGGCTAGCCAGGCAACAGGCAAATCGCAAATGGCAAATAGTAAATAGGTTCACTTTGTCACTATGTACATGTAGTCAGCATGACTATGACTATGACTATGACTATGACTACTGATTACGTCCTCGTCACTATGTCACTGTCAGCAATCATTGCTTTGTCCCTTTCGTCATTTGGTCCAACGGTTAAAGTTTTCGTTGTTTACTGCTAGGCTAGATCTATAAGTCTAAATCCAAGGTCCAAGGCCACGGTAGCGGTACTGGTATCGAACACTAAAACTTCGAAAGGCTTAGCCGTGACACCGATGTTCAGAGTTTTGGGTTTTGGGATGCTGAAGGCTGAAGCATTGAGTCAGAGAGTTCCCCTGAAAGGTTGCAATGATCCCGACTGCCAACCCAGAATCAGGTGAGGTTCGGTCTTTGACCAAGTCGTTGAAGCTGCTGTCCGAAGAACTTGCAAACGTCCAGAAGTCCAAGGACTTTGAAGCGGAGCTGAAGCCAACAAAGATTGCGGACAGCTCTACCTTGCAGTGCCTCGAGCAGCGTGCAGGACTTCTGCGAAGGCGGCTCCTGGCCACGGCTCGCAAGACTTGCTTGCAGGCCTGGCAAAGCGTCGAGAGGCTTCAATCGCTTCTTCAAAGCCTTCCCAAGGCCTGCAGCAAAGCTGAGGAGGATTACCGAGTCGCGGCGATCCCGCTGGTGAAGGAGCTGGCAGGCCTGTCCGGCCAGGTGTCGTCAGGAGCTGAGACGATCAAGGAGCTCCAAGATGACATCGCGACATTGGCCGTGACAGTGTTTCAGTCCGCAGGCTCGGAAGCGGAAGTGCCGCATGAGCAGCTCATTCGCAAGTCAGACGGTGTGAACTTCAGGGAAGCTGGAGAGTCTTCGGAGGCTTTTGCCAAGACCTGCAACGAGGTTGCACTTTGTGGCAAGACGCATGTGAGCATTGTTGCAGCCCTTTGCCTGTTGCGCATGCCAAACTTGAGCGCTGCTTCACAAGAGGGCAAGGAGCTGATGCAGAAGCTTGTGGGTGTGCACAGTGCGCTGAGCAATCTATGCGACAATCTGAAGGCCCAGATTGCACCAGGAAGCGAGTATTTTAGCCTCCGCGCTTTTGCAGAGACTGTTCTCAATGAGGCAAACGATTGCTTGAATCCCAAGAAGTCACCAGATGAGTCAGCCGTCGCGGCTGTTCCCAACAAAGGAAAGAAGCGCAAGCCTGCCGAAGAACCGGCCGAGGAACCCGAGAAGAAGAAGAAGGCGGCAGAAAAGAAGAAAAAGAAGGGAAAGGACTCTGACGATGAGAGCGAGAGCAAGAAGAAGAAGAGCGGATCCAAGTCAAAGCGAAAGCGAGAGGGGGATTGAGGCCTTCGGCCACGTTTTGATGGGATCCAAGTCAAAGCGAAAGCGAGAGGTGGATTGAGGCCTTTGGCCTTTGGCCACGTTTTGATGTCGAGCTGTGACTTTGAGCCTTCGGGCCAAGTTTCAGCTTCAGAGACATTTTAACTTCAGTCTTTGAGCTGATGGAGTTGTCGTTGTTCGGGAGATTTCAGGGGAACTTTCCCAATGCTAACAGCTTCATATCGGCTCGCCCGTTCCGTCAGGGCAGACAAAGACAAAGACCAAAGAGCAGGACGTTTCACGCAGAGCAAAATGTGAAGAAAAGTGCAGGGTGCTAGCATGTTGTGCGTTAAGACAAAGTCAAGACGTTTTGGGTGAGTTTTGTGGTGGCCACGTGTGGTGGGTTCCTTGCCAGCTTCGGCTTCAACTTCAACGCTTCAGCGGATGTTGCCAGTTTGTCACTGTCACTGTGAACTGTTAACCTAAGTAAAGAGTTTGGGTGTAGGGGTTTTGTGTGACCGTCAGTGATGTCATGTCTGCATGTTGATGTTGGCTCAATGACAGAACAAGGATGTGCAATTAAACGGTAAACACTACAGACGTCAGAAGTCCTCCAACTTGTAGCGCTCCAGGGTAGTCACCACCACGGTCTCCGTCGCGGTTTTGAGTTTTGGGGCTTTTAGCCCATATATCATGTCCGCCTCTGGTTAGACCGCCGGCGGCATTGTTCCCCAGCATGGCGTTCGAGACGACTGAAAGCGCTACGAGCTCGTCTCAGTCCCGGCAACTGTCCAGAGTTTCCTCCAACTCCAGAGCTGAGCCTGTCTTGATGGCCGAGGCTTCTAGCCGGGTTGTTAAGGCGAAGTGGTTCATAGACTGCACCCTCTTGAAGGAATGTGCCGCAGAAAATTTGCATGGCTTTGCCAAACTCTACCCCGAGCAGTTCGGAGATGGGCCTGTGGCCAAGATGCCGAAGACCCAACTTTCGTGGGGTTCCGCATGCTCTGGATGCGAGGGTGCCTTGTACGTAGCACATGCCATTAATGCAAGTTTTGCTGGAGCGAAGTGGCCTGTGAGGCTGCAGCACCGCTTCAGTTGTGAGTCCTGCAGAGACAAGCAAAAGTGGGTGCATGTAGTTTCTGCCTCACACCGTTGCGCGGATGCTGATGAGCTGTTCGCAGATCTGTTTGGGGCAGATGATGAGGATGACGATGAGAGTCATCACACTTGCATCTTTGCAGACATACAGAACTTAGGAAACGAGACAGCCCATTGTGTTGTGCACAATCGAGAATGCCCGGTCCCGCAGGTGGATGTGTTCATGTGCGGTGTGAGCTGCAAAGACGTTTCCCGTCAGAATCCTGGGCGAGACATGTCGAAGCATGTGATAGCCGAAGGGCACTCGCGTGGCGGAACTGCGCAGACATGGCAAGGCTTTGCAAGCTACGTTTCCATCAAGCAGCCGGGTATTGTGGTGTTTGAGCTCCTACGCTGCAACTTTTGTAGAGTTGGTTGCCGTGTTTACTGTTTTTGGGCTTTCAAATAATCTGTTTTCAAGTAGGGTCTGAAGTTAGAAGTAGAAGTAGTGGAGGGTTTTAGGCTTCAGGTCCTTCTCATCCGCTTCCGACATTTGACCACAAATCAGGAACGTGGATGGCCTTGACGACAACGTCGGCCAGACTGCGCAGAGCAACATGGACGTGGTTGTGCAGACGATGAAAGGTTTCGGGTATGAGGCTCAGCCAATGATGACTGATGCTCATGAGTTTGGATGCCCATCCAAACGGCGCCGGGTCTACATCTGCTTTTTCAAGCGGACGTTTCACAAGTTTTGTTTCCAAGACCGTCCGCTCTCGCAGTCTGTAACCATGTTCAGAAGCATGACAGCTTCTTGCATGCGATCTGCGCCGTGCGTCACTGAGGTCCTTTTGGATGGGAGTTGTGAAGCCGTTTCGGCTGGTCTTCTAGAGTTGCAGAACAAACGGGCGCAAGCAGAAGAGAGGGCCGCCAATGCCAAAGCCAAGGCAAAGGCGAAAGCCCAGCCTGCTGCCAACTGGGTAGAGCAACACTTGAAGGCCAGTGAAACCTTAGGCGTTCGATGGGGCCAACCGGCAGGTCGGGAATTGGAGAGCAGCCCATGGTTTCGAACCTTGACAGACCGTGAAAAGGATGCCTTGGTGCTTTCCCGGTCCCACGCGCCGCAGGCAGGCTTCCGCAACCTGAGCCAGTCTTTGAACCGCATCCACACCATGACGCTGGCTGAGGGGTGTACAAAGCATGTTGCGCCTACCATGCTCCCTGGACAGATTCTTTTTGTTGAACTTGTGAGACCTCCAAGGCTTCTGCTCGGGAGGGAAGCTTTGATCCTGCAAGGGTTTCCGGTCGAGACTTTCTTGCGCGACATGGATGTGGCTGGATACAACGCTTGTGACGATCCATTTCCCAATCTTGCAGGCGATAGTGCGAAGAAGCGCAAAAAAAGAATGAATGACAAGCCTTGGCTGACGGAAGCCCTCATGATGGATCTGGCAGGCAACTCCTTTTCGTTTCCGGTTTTGCTCGCGGTGTGGCAGTCTGCTGTTTGCGCAGTGGATTACCGTGCAGCCACTGAGACGGTGAAGGTTGCAGATGTTGAAGAAGCTATGGATGCATTGGCTTTTCTCGTGTCTTTGTGAGCTTCAACCAGGCCTCTGGCCCTTGTCCAGGTTGAGCAAGTAGAGCCTTAGCCTCAGCAGCCTTAGCACCTTTGCCTTTGACTTCGTTGTGAAGCCTTGGCCTTCGGCCCGGTGCTAACTTGGCTGCACAGGCGACGGGCCTCAGGCCAGGTTTACAGCAGAGACTGTGCTTCAGGCTTTTGGTTTCAGAGTTTTGGCGACCGGACTCTGGAGCAGACTTCGGGCACAAAAAAGGCGCCGCTGTGCGTTTTGCGGAGGCTGCTACGGCTGTTAAGTGCAGTGCATGTGCTAGCTTTTGTTGTAATGATGAATGGCGGAATCGCATCCGCTAAAGCTTGGTGTCGCATTTGAAGAAAAGCAACAGGCTAAGCAAACTTCTTTGAAATCGTTGCAAATATTTTTAACAATATTTTTTGAAAGACAACTGAAGCAAATATCACGTATCAGATTTTTGCAAAGCACATGTTTAAAGAATGTGCAAGAACAAAGCCCTTGCAAAACAATTTTTAAAGAAAAACACAGTTTTCAAAACAATTGAAAAACAATTGTTCAAAAAATTGTATAATTTTGAAACAATTAAAAAACAATTGTTCAATAAATTGCACTAATTTCAAACAATTGTCAAACAATTGTCAAAACAATTGTCAAAACAATTGTCAGGGTCAAAACAATTGTCGGGGTCAGGGGAAATGTGCGGGACTACGAAGCTTCTTGAAAACATTCAACCTATAGGCTTCCCTTGCCTATTCTTGACTCCCGGGACTGCCCTTGAGGCGGGCATCCTGCTCAGGGTGCCCCACCTCTTGCTCGCTGGCGAGCTCTTAAGCCCAACGGCAGCGGACACACCGGAGTTTTCTCTTGGGCTTGGGCTTCAGGGTGTCTAGGGGTACCTCGAACCTTTAGGCTTTTGGGGTCTCCAGGCTTCTACTTTTACGAGCCTTGTTGGGCCTCTAGGCTTCCAGATCTCCAAACCTTACTCTGGGGGTGGCTAGGCTGAAAGGTTTTGGTATTGGTTCTTTAAGGGATGTATTTTGGGAAGCCTGTTACCGGAAGCCCTTTTTCAAGGGCTCCAGGTGACTTGGGAGGCACTTTTTCAAGGGCTCCAAGTGAATCGGGGCTTAAGTTTATATACCTATATATATATATGTATATGTATATATATATATATATGTATATGTATATATATATATATATATATAGCTGCGACACTATAAAATTTACGAGCTTACCGGGGTTTAAAGCTTCAAGGGAAACCCCAAACTCTAAAAGGCTTCACCCTAAGACCCCAGACCCCACATGTGTTTGTGTGTGCGTGTGTGCGATTTTTCTGCCGCCCTGCCCCCCCCCCCTCACCCAAATTTGTCCTTTCCTCTCGTTTAGCACCGTTTAATGAAAGTATAATAAAAACACATTCCAGAACACTCTTCTAAATAAAAAAACAAGGAATAAATACAAATAAAAAAATATATATATATATAGAATATGGAATATATATATATATATATATATATATGCCATAATAAGTATTTCCATCCCCGAACCCTTGTTTTTTAGCTCCCGGTGGCCGGAACGGTAAAGTCAGGGTGAGACGTGGCCAGCAGGGCCTCTTACAAAAATGCTACTTCTGCCCACCCTGTTTCCAGGGCGGGCAGCTGCACAGTCGACCCTCTTTCGAGGGTTCAAGACCCTCTCTCAAGGGCAGAGCTTCTTGCAGACCCCCTCTCAGGGGTATTTTTTGCAAAGGCTGGTCCTCATTGCCTGGGCCTGGTCCTTCGTCATTTTCGGATCCTTTTCTAAGGCTTTCTTGATGATGTCGATGACCTTCTCGTACTGGCTTGTCCATCTTTCCGGCACCTCCGTGATCAGGGGTCGCTTGCCAGCCGGCCCCAAGGTACCAGTCAGGTAGCACCGGGCCGGCTTGCTGGCCTTGGTCTTCCTGACTGCTTTCCAGCCGCCCACGTGGCCGGGAATGGGCTGAGAGGCAGCCGGCTTTTTCAAGGGCTGCTCTTTCGGCTCTTGGCCCTTTCCCCGACCTTTCAGTGGAGCGCGTTGCTCCCGCTGAGGAAGAGCTACCGGAACTCTGGTACTCACCTTACGGAGAGAAGACCCACGTTTCAGGAAGATGTCATGGCCTCAGGAACGCAACCAGTGTACACCGAGTACTACCATGCAAGTACTGCTGCCCCAACGGACTTCGATCCCGAGAACAACGCACCTTCGAGTACAACAGAACCTTTTTGGAAGCAGCAGGAAAGTACCTTTGGCTAAAAGTCTTCATGGTTGTGGTTCTCATGAGCATGTCGTGGTTCATGGTGTTTCAAGTGAACGAGACCTACGGCTACCCGCTGACCGCGAACCGCATGCTGAAGTACAAGAACAAGGTCCTCAGCCTCGACAACAAGAACCCCAAGAAGAAGCATGTGATAAAGGAGATTACCCCAGCAGAAGTTGTGCCTGCCGGGAAGAGCCAAGAAGGTGATCACACAGAACTTTTCACGTTGTGGTCGCATTTACATGAGCCCAATACCAAACCGAGAACGAGAACAAGATCTACGCCACAAGCTACCTCAAGAAGACGAACGTGTACTCCGAGTTTTACAAGAACAAAAGAAGAAGAAAGTTGCAACTACAGTTTTCATGATGGTGATGTTGCGGAGTATAACGAGAACTTAAAGAACAACGAAGGGCCCCACGTGAACTACTACAAGAACCTTGTGTTTGAGTTGGTTTTGGAGTTTCAAGAGTACCTTGCGAAAGCAGGAAGAAGCCTTGAGCCCGTCGTGAGCTACGTCGTGCGCACGTGTCACCCAGTTCTACTTCTACTTGGGACCCCGCTTGGTATGGTCACTTGGATCTACCTTTATTTTTGGGTCAGAGTTAAGCAAACAAAAAGAGAACAGTTGAAGAAGAAAGTTTCGAGAAGGAAGTTGCACCAGTCAGTTTGCAGCGTTCTTTTGAGGAAGCGAGTTTGGTTGCATGCTGTGTTGCTTTACAGTCACATGCAGAGTGCAGTTGTGATGGAGGAAGCCTTGCAAAGGCTTACGGACCTCACTGCCCAAAACACACAGCAGATACAAGCACTTGCCCAGGCAATGAACAACCAGCAAGTTCAGGCAGGTACTGCTTCACAACAGCTACAAGAACTCGCGCAGTCAGTTTCACAACAACAGAGAGCAATCACTGAAGCAACCCAAGCAACGAACACAGCACTGTCACAGCAAGCAGAGCTTACTGCAAATGCGGTTGCAGCAACAGGAAAGCTTACAGCAGATGCAGTCACAGCACTGTCGCAACACGCAGAGTCGAGAAGGCCAGGAGAGGTTGACCTCCACAAGATGATCAAATCTCCGGAAGTCTTTGGCCCCACGACGTACAAAGAAGAACGTGATGGTTTTCTAGAGTTTCGGTTGAAGATGAGAAGCTGGATAGGTGCCCTCAACAACGACATCCTCGAGAAGATTAACGCAGTCGAGATGGATAGAAGAGAAGCATCATGGGAATGGACCAAACTTACAACAAGCGAGCAAGCACTTTCAAGAAAGCTACATTCCATTCTCACCAGCTACACGCGTGGCCGTCCTCTACGAACTCTAAAGCAAGTACCCAACGAGAACGGCTTCGAAGCATGGAGGTTGTTGGTTGAAGAGCATCAGCCGCACAATCGTGCACGTTCTCTACAACTACTCAACGGAGTTCTACACTACAGGTTCGACAAGCAAAGGTCAACACAAGAAAATATTCTAAGGTTCGAGGAGTTGATTGAAGAGTACGAGAGAGCGAGTGGAGACCTTGTTGCCGATGACATGAAGATTTCCATCATTCTTGGAGGAACTGAAGGTAATATGAGACAACACCTTTTACTCAACCAGAAGGAGACCACAAAGTATGGAACACTGCGTCAGTACCTCCTCTCCTACGAGCAAGCAGCAAGGTGGACCACTACAGACCTCATCAACTCAGGAAAGGATCACCAAGGACAAGCCGACATGGATGTGTCACGAGTTGAATGGTGGAACAAAGGCAAGGGAAAGGACAAAGGAAAAGGAAAGAAAGGAAAAGGATTTGGAAAGTACAAAGGCAAAGGCTTTGGCAAAGCAAAAGGAAAAGGAGAAAGCCAGTACTACTACAAAGGCAGAGGAAAAGGAAGAGGAAAAGGAAAAGGCAGAGGCCGAGGATATGGCAAAGGCGGGGGAAAAGGCTACAACAACAAAGGAAAAGGAAAAGGATACAACAATCCAGGAGTCCCCGTTTGCCACTACTGCCAAAAGCCTGGACACTACGAAGCCAATTGCAGACTCAAGCAAAGAGACATGCAGCAGAACGTCAGGAACGCACAGGAGGAAGATGAACAAAGCGTCAAAACACAGCCTACTACAGTTCCAAGCAGCAGCGCCTCAGCAGCAACAACAAGAACTACAAGCGCGAAGTCTACAGCTAAGCCAACAGTTCGACAGATCGCGATGTACCACATGGACAACGACCCTGTCACGTATCCTGAAGTTTTCGAACTTGACGAAGATGAAGAAGAGCTCGAGATTGAGTACTTTGGAAGAGTTTTGAGAGTAACAGAGGCAGAAGAGTTTGTGTTGTCAGAAGGAGAAGAGAGCGAAGAAGAACAAGAAGATCCTCTACTCAAGTCGTATCTTGGACGTGATGCACTACCAGCACAGGAAGTTTTCTCAGTGCGCGTTGTAGAGGAAGAGTTTTTCCAGGAAAGTGATCTTCACCAGAGAATTGAAGTTATCCTGGACTCTGGCGCAGATGTTTCTCTTGTGCCCTCTTGGCTAGGAAAGGAAGGAACCCCTTTGAAGGTTCGCCCTTCGTCCATTCAGGACGCACAGGGAAAGGCAATAAAGGCAGAAGGAAGAAGGATGCTGAACTTAACGTTCTTTGATGACGATGGAAGCTTTTGTCGCATCCAGGAAGCCTTCACCGTTGCCTCGGTGATCAACCCTCTGATGGCCATAGGCAAGCTGTTTCGAGAAGGTTGGGAGTTGCGAGTTAACGAAGAAGAAGGTATGTGCCTTACAGACGGAAGCTCAAGAATACCCGTGCATCTCCACAAGAACAGCTTGGCAGCACAAACTCCTTCAAGAAGCAAAGGCTATACCAGCAGCAACTACAAGATGGTTCGTACAGTTGTTCAGCTCAACAAGCACATTCAGGAAGCAGTGAACAGAGAAGAACCTGGTTGGCACAATACCGACAGCATGGTCATCGTGAAGTGTGCCACTCAAAGCAGCTACGAGAACCCATCTCTCATGTACAGCCCTACGCACTTTCCGTACAGAAGCACTTTGGTGAAAGAAGAGAGAGGATGGAGAGCAGTTGAAGTTTCAAGAAAGTACTCCGAGAAGGCAGACCCTTTTGAAGAGTTTGCTGAAGGAGAAAAGGAAGTGGTTACAGCCATTTCAGCAAAGCCAATTCCACTTTGGATTCTTGGCACTCCCTACGCTGCCGGAGACCGAGCAGACCAAGAAAGCCATGGTCGTGACTACTGGAAGATGGATCTCGAGAAAGGAGAAGTTGTTCGTCACCACGTAGTACCAAGAACTGTTTTGTTTGACCCGACAGGTGTTTCCAACTGTCCTGTCCTCCTTGGAGACCTCGAGAACAGCAGATATACCCAAGGAGACTGTATCTACAGTACGGAAATCTACGAACACAGCGACGACTGGAGAGCAGACCGTCTACCTCTACGTGAACACTTTCGTTTGCCGTGGTTTGGTCAAACAAGGTTTCGTGTGAAGCCAGAAGTTGTTGAAGACCTGAAGGCAGAAGCAGCAGCAGAGGAGCTAAAGAAGAAGAAGGAAGAACACTACAAAGAGAAAGAAGCTTCAGCAGTACCAGCAGCAGAAGAAGAGAGCAAAGATGAGGATATGAGAGAAGCACAAGCAGACCAAGAAGCACCACAAGAAGTTGTTGAAGTTTTGGAGGAAAGCTTCTACCACGAAGGTGTTGAGTACACAGCACAAAAGAGCAGTCTTAAAGAACTACAAGCACTTTGCAGAGAGTACGGAGTGAAGACAACAGGAAGCAAGAAGCAGCTTTTGAGGAGACTTGCCACAGCAGTCAGAGAAGAGAGGCTCAACACACAGCACAAGGAGCAACGGGAACACCACCAAGCATACCACCTAGCACCACCTCAGGAACCAACGGAAGAGGAGAGAGCGTACCACAACTTGACGCACCTTCCGTACCAGCCTTGGTGTCCCCATTGCGTTGCTATGAAAGCACGAGAAGACAACCACAAGAAAGGATTGAGCAAGCCAAGCAGCTCTACGGATTCCGCGAAGCCCGTCATCAGTTTTGACTTTTGCTATACAAGCACCACAGGAAGTGAAGAGCCACCTGCAGTGACTCTTGTCGCTGTGGACAGCTGGAGCAAGGCAGTTCTTGCAGTGCCCTGCAAGAGGAAAGGAGGTGCAGGAAGCACAACGCACCTCGCGGAAGCACTAGTGCAGTTCACCACGCAGCTCGGGTACAACACCCTCGTTCTCAAAGCAGACAACGAGAACGCAGCCAAAGCACTCAAGGACAAAGTACAGAAGGTACGCAGCAGCCTTGGACCTTCTACAACACTACAGGAAAGCATTCCTTACGACCACGAGAGCAATGGAGCAGCAGAAAGAGCAATACAGACAGTACGGAGGCAAGCGAACACTATACTTGATGAACTCAGAGAAAGAACACAGCTGGCAATACCACATGAACACGCAGTGGTAAGCTGGGCGTTTAGACACGCCTGCTGGCTACTCAACAGGTTCGCAGTTAGCAGCTCCACAGGAAGAACGCCACAGGAAGTTATCCACGGATATCCCTACTCAGGGAAACTAGTACCCTTCGGTACTGTTGTGATGGCGAAGAGGTTGAAGATCAAAAGAAAAGGCGACAGGATATGGAACGCAGGAATATTCTTATAGGCAAGACAGAGCAAGACACTTGGATCGTTGCACAGCCTGACGGCATACATATCACACGCAGCGTGAGACCACTACCAGAACAGTACGACTCCAAAAGAACAAGCAGCATAGAGGTCCACACCTGGAACCTCAACACACCACTCCTTGGAGCAAGAGTACTTCCAGAGAAGAAGCACAAGCAACGACCACAGCTAAGCATCCTGCCCCCTGTTGCCGAGGAAGAACGCAAACAGCTCGAGAACGACGAGGCCGCCAGTGACCCTCCGAGTTCGGAGGACAGCAGTGAAGAGCAGCAGCGAGCACTTCAAGACAGAGAGGAACAAAGCGAAAGCAGCAGCATGAGCGTGACGAGAGATAGGAAAAGAAGAGCTGAAGTTGATGATGACACCCTTTTGGAGGAACTTCAGGCAATTGAGCCACTCACAGCCTCAGCAGAAGCAGTTGCAGCACCAGCAGAACCACGAGCAGAAGCAAGCAAGCACAGTCTTGAACCTGAGGAACCAAGCTCACCCAGCAAGTCACGAAAGCAGGTCAACAGAGCAGAAGAAGCAGACGGTTACCTCAACATGCCTCATGATGATGAAGTTTACGAAGCAGATGATGAGTTTTTGTACGAGTCTGAAGAAGAAGAAGAAGAAGAGGAAACAGAGAGGGAACCAACAGAAGTTTCTACCAAGGTCCCCGTCGATTTCTTCGATGAGGAGAAAGGACCACCGAACGTGGACCCAGCTTTTCTTCAGAAGTTGGACGATGAAGCTACAGTTAAGGAAATCAAGAGGTTAACAAAGATGGGAGTTATTTCGTTGGTTTCTACGGATCCTCAGGAAGCAACTGAGAACGTACCTCTGGTAGACTCAGAGCAAGAACTTCACAAGTGGTTGACAACGAAGTTGGTGAAAGATTGGAGGTTCAGAGAAGCTACAGGTTTCGAAGTTGATGAAGCCACAGCAGGAACAGCAAAACCCAAGCAGACACAGAGGTGCTGGCAAAGACGTGCCAGGTTGGTAGCAAGAGAATACAAAACAGAAGGAAAAAGGGAAGATATATTTTCTCCTGCGACAAGCCCAGGAATTACAAAACTGGTGCCCATGCTGGCTCTCGCCAACAATTGGGCGATCTACAGTGTCGACGTGAAAGACGCGTTTTTACAAGTCCCTCAAAGAACACCTTGCTTGTGTCGAGTACCTGAAGAAGCAGCTCACGTCGTTCAAGCAATGCAGGAACAGCCAGAACGTAGCCCTGGAACTTGGTGTTGGAAGCTAGGAAGAGTTTTGCCAGGTCAACGCGACGCATCCAGCCTTTGGTCCGTCTTTTGTGATGGACCTTTGGTTGAAGAGAAGTTCGAGCGTTGTACAGCAGTCCCAGCACTTTACCGTCTTCTACGACAAGGAAAAGTAGTTGCCGTTTGCATTGTACACGTAGATGACTTGCAGTTTGCAGGAAAGAAGGAAGTCATCGAACCGATCCTCAGGAACCTCAAGAAGACAGTGAACTTACAAGTTGAAGGACCTCTTTTGAACGAGGAAGACTACGAGAAAGGATTTTCTGAAGAGACCGTGAAGTTTCTCAAAAGGAAGTACACGTACGAACATCACGAACTACGAGTACATAGCGATAACAAGTACGTGAAGAAACTCGTGGAGATCCTCAAGCTGGAGAAGAAGAAGGCCAAGAACTCACCTTGCACGCCGGCTAGTCAAGAACCTGACGTATCCCAAGAACTGGACGAGGAACACTCGAGAACGTACAGAAGTTGTGTTGGCATTTTGCTGTACGTGGCGCACGACCGTCCGGACATTCAGTTCGCAGTACGCAGCTTAAGTACTGCCATGACGAAGCCAACGGAACGCAAAAGGAAAGAACTGGAGCACTTGGCGCTCTACCTCAAAGGAACGTCAGACTACGCCGTTACGTACCACAAGAACAACCCAGGAACGTCAGCTTTACGTCACCGCGCCGAAGAACCACAAGAACCACAAGAACCTCGAGAACAACCACGTGAACGTTTACTCGAAGTTTTTAGCGACTCCGACTGGGCCGGAGACAAGCAGACTAGGAAGTCAGTCAGTTGCGCCATGTTCT